AAAAATGAGAAGATGAGAAGAACTTAAACGCATTTCTTCTTCGCTTCTGTCCCATTGCCAGATATACTGATAAAATGTCTCGTTACAAGCCTCCCCCGATGGGAAAAGTAGATGAGTGAACACTCCAGCTAAAATACCCGTGCGGCAAGAAAAAAAAATGTAAACCTCTCTCCCATAGTTAAACTTGATCCATACATATCGCATGCATACAGACTGGGAAAAAAAACATTTTTCTTTTAGAAGTCAAGAAGTGATATCAGAACTAAAAATAATTTATATCTGTGAGTAATTAAATTCAACAGACTTTTCGTTTGCCGTCTTATGTCAGAAAACTTCTTGCTTAAACCCAATTTAGGTTTAGTCTTCATTTCTTGAGCATGCGAAGTTGCTACTTTATATGAGTTTATTTCTTTAGTTAATTCTTTGTTCCTAAGATTCGTTCAGATAACCAGTTTAAACCTTTACAGCTAACATCTACTTTGCTACATCCACTGTTGAATCACTTTTACTTGCTTCGTATTCAATCGGGAAGAAGCAGGTTCCTCTGAGAAAGTTTCTTCGCAAGAAGCGCTACTTTCTGCTACTGACTTCCACGTGGATGCTTCCTAAAATGTTAAAATATTAACCTCTTCAAGTGTAAGGTCAGTTATTATCTATCCTTATAATATTCACTTCTTCCTATCTCCTCTTGCATTCATATCACACACCAGATTCAGTAATCTTCTTCCTTGAGTCACTCTTGGCTCTTAAAATGGGTGTAGATTAATTAAAAAAGTAGAAAATCCATTTTTTTTCGATTCCTGGTTAATTTATTTCACGGCATTAGACAATTTATTTTAACTTTGACGAATGGCGATGAGCTAACGTCAGAGTGTACACTTGTTAGGAAGATGGGATATTCTCATAGTACACGTATGCATACACCTGTGTATAGAGTTTCCTTTTTCATCATGCACACACGCGGCCAATATGTACAAAGACAGATAAACATGACAGGTGCATTAATGTGCGTTTAAACTGACCTATGCACTTGGATGTGTAAAGTGGAGACCAGTGTTTTCTAAACAATGGTTGTGTACCAAAATAAGGGTTAAAAGAGTGTCTACGAGAGTGCTATGAGGTGGCTTAGAAACAATAAATAAAATTAAAATAGATATTGGGCGGACATAGGAATTAACGCTGCATAATGGCTGTCAGTTTCACGTTTTAATGAGATCTTCAGATCAAAAATAAAATAATAAAAAATCAAAGGAAACAAAATTATCAAAATTAACCAAAAAAAAAAAAATAATGTAAATATCCCACAATATTGGAATATAAAGCGTAATTGAATCTATAGAAGAGAAAAAAAAATGGGAATGAGGAAGCATTGGTAAATGTGTCAAAATCCCTGACATATTTCATTCGGTTCACCAAGTTGTATGCTGAAGTGGCTGGAGACTGACGTAATTAGAGTATCGTTTTTTGGGGGGTTTTTTTGGGGGGGGTAAGGTGGGTACTCACTTCTAGTGCTGCACCATGAAATTACGTGCGAGCTGAGACGAAAGGCACGTGAAACACATGAGAGTTTCAGTTTTTTTTTTTTGATCAACATAAGAAATACTGAAATTTGTTTATTGGTTATTAATTCGTCAAGAATTGCTGTCACAACTTAAGTAAAGACAAAAGGCTAAAAAAAAAAAAAGCCGCATTCAGGTTCGCAATCAAAAACGTTTTTAAACACTGCAAGAGACTTGTAAGATTTATGTAAGCCTCTATACAGTCTTCTTTATATACATCATTCGTAATTTATACCTTTCATTCAATTTATGACCATGTAGCTCTCTTCATATCCGTCCTACTATTTATCTTTATGCATATCTATCAATATATATATATATATATATATATATATATATATATATATATATATATATATATATATATATATATATATATATATATATATATATATATATATATATATATATATATATATATAAAATATATATATCAATATATACATATATAAATACATTAATACATATATCAATATGTATATCAATATATGTATTAATATACATATATCAGTATATCTCTCTCAAATATATACATCAATAGATCTATGTCAATACATCTATATACCTTTATATCAATCTATATATATGTCAATATATTCGTCTATATATCAATAAAATTATATATCTATATCAATATAAATATATCTATCTATATATATCAATGTATCTTGCTATATATTTATATATACATATCAATCTATCTATATATATCAATCTATTTATCTATATAAATATATTGATAGATAGATAGATAGATAGACAGATAGAAATCTATCTCTATATCAAAATCTGTTCATATGCACATCTATCTATCTATCTATCTATCTATGTTTATATCTATTTATGTCTGTGTTTATCTGTGTTTCTATGTTAATCTATGTTTATCTATCTATCTATGTCTGTGCATATATCTATCTATCTATCTATATATATATATATATATATATATATATATATATGTATATATATCTGCCTACATATATATATATATATATATATATATATGAATATAGGTCTCCAGCTATCTCTTAATATAGCTATCTATATATATCAACGTACCTATATAGCTATATTGATATATATAGATAGCTATATTGATATGTTCACACACACAAACACACACATATATATGTATAGATAGATAGATAGCTATATATATATGTATATATAGAGATGCTATATTGATATATATATATATATATATATATATATATATATATATAGAGAGAGAGAGAGAGCAATCTCTTTATGTATCCATAACTATCTATCCATATATATCAATATAGCTATATATATATATATATATATATATATATATATATATATCAATATATCTATTTCTCTCTCCCTCTATCTCCTCTCTCTCTCTCTATATATATATATATATATATATATGGCAATATAGCTATTTATCTAACTATATATCAACACAGCTTTCTATATATTTATCTGTCTGTGCATATCTACCTACCTATCTAGATTCGCATTCAGCTATCTCGCTCTTTTCTCATCTATATGTAATTACAGAATTTAACACGTTTTCTTCAACAGGAAATGAATATTTAAGCGTGTAAAACATCGATACGTGACTATTTGAATCACGCTTCGGTTGTTATTTAAATTTAAATTATAATCACAACTCCAGACAGCTGTTAAGAATAATATTACGCGAGGCGAGATGGAATAGTCATTGGAACAAACAAGTAAAGATTCACATGATACTACCTTTCAAATCATTCAATACGTCCGTATGTTTTTCTATAAATGAATATAGGCACAGTGTATCTATGATAAAAAACATATAAACAATGACCGATTTACACCTGTCACGTCCGCACTTACATACACAAGAAATTTGTCTGAATGTAACACTGCGCCAAGTATAACAACAGGTCGGTGCCTTGAGGAGACCTTTTTTTACACAAAAATAGACACAAAAAAACGTCTATCTGAAGAAAAAGGAACACATATTTCATTAAATACTTATATGTTGAACAAAGTTCCTATTATCATTATTTGTTAAACCTGAAATGGTTTGTATGGCTACAACAACAATGACGGTGAAAAACATGTGAGAGGGAAAGATACGAAAGAAAATATCTACGTCAACACTGTCAAATGTTTTAATAAGGTTTACTTTTTCCTGATTCGATGAGGGAAAACATCTGTGCGTAAGACAAAAGTAGCTTTTAAACTGTGGAAAAGACAGAATATTGTTGTTTGTTTTTCTTTCGCACATAACAGATGTGAATAGTATTTTTTAAAAACTTTAAAATAAATCGTAGGCATGCTTATTGTTTAAGAAATGCCATTGTTTTTATAATATCACAAACACTAAACCTCAGTAACGTAAAATTACTACGGGCAGACAATAATAATAATAATAATAATAATAATAATATCTAGACTGCAGTATTATTGATAAAGGGCTTGGCGTGAAAATGCAGGGAAGACAAGAAATCTGAGGAGGTTGGCAGTCACTGGGTCCTCAGTGTCAACAACCACCAAACACGTTGTGCATAACATAAGAGTTAATAAAAAATAACAACAAAAGCAACAATTATTTTGACAACAGCATCAGATGGCAAACCTCAGAAAACTGTGACGAGACTAGCTGTCACTTGTTCTCCTGTGAAACCTATCACGTACTACGGAAGGAAAATAATAATAATAATAATAATAATAATAATAATAATAATAATAATAATAATAATTACTGACAAACACATAAATGTTCATAGACCAGACATAGTGATTAAAAAGCCTACAAACAAAATAAAAGAAATGACTTCTAGATATGGTAGTGCCAGGAGATAAAACTATATCTGTTAAAAATAAAATAAAGGAACATGACAAAATATGGCAACATAAGGATCTTGAAATTGAAGAAATATGTCACCTCAAAACTAACGTTCATTAATAATTGGGGCCCTGGGTACAATTAAAAAAACGGCACAGACAAGAAGACCATTAACAAATCTCATGCTCACAAGAGAAAACAAATACACTTTGTGGAATTGCTCATCTATTAAAGAGTGTATTATTATCACTGTAAAGAAAATAAACATTGTGTACAAGTTGAGTATCATTTAAAATATCAGAAGGAACATATTTACTAATTTGTCTTCCTCCAAGTTTCGGATAATGACTCGGAAAAGGATTACTAAAAACAGAATGCAAATAATAATAATAATAATAATAATAATAATCGAAAATTGGGAGGGAAAGAAAGAAGTTAAAAAGAGAGAAAGAGAGAGACAGAGAGACAGAGAGATTGGTATGTGGAGGTTTGTAATGTGTATTTCCAAAAAGTGCATTATACTCTCTTTGTTGCACAGTATTAAAAGTCCAGCATCGTGTTTTTGAACATCTAATCAATACGTTTTTTATTTGGACAAAAATATTTAACTGACACAACTGCACGCCTCCACGGTCATTTAGATACACAATAAGAGGTCTGAGAGTCCTTATCAACAGGTTTCAAATGAAGAAACACACACCCATATATGTGAAAAATAAACTTTAAAAATAATAGCGACTTACCTAAGAATTGTAGATATATTAAATACCTCCTATGTGTGCTCAAGGTATCCTGTGGAGACCTAATCTTCGTTTAAATCTGATGTACACACATTCATATGCACAAATAAATACATATATTCATGTATTTCGCCAGATATATGTGTATTTCTTGTTTTAATCCTTTCTTCTTTTCCCTGATAGGTAAAAACCTTCAACTTGTGAAAATATTAAAACTGCTTGATTTCATAAAATAAACAGATATACCTGTGTGTTTAAATGTTCACCTCAAAAGGTTGTTTAAATACATATACGGACAATGTCAGTTTTTGCGGCTGTTATTGGTGTAACAGTTGTATATGATTGATATATTCACATGCAATTAAGGGGAATATTTTAGATGTTATTTAGTTCAAGTTCTGTGAAACCGGAAGGTGGGGTTTCTGAAGTTCAAAATAATAAAAAAAAAAAGGATGAACAACGCTTATACAATCGGTTACGTTTGCGACGTTAAATTAAATCAAAAGCTGTTGAATCTTGGTTTTTTTTTCATGTATATAAGGATATTTAAACCTTGCAATTAGTTGTTAACACGAAATGTTCGCTAGTAATTGCATTTATAGTCGGAGCAAGGTTTTGCAATAAACACCATGCTTTGCTCACAGCGAAATGATTTATTCTTTTTTGTATGCATATGTGTGTGTAGGTCTTAAATCATTAGTATTAAAACACGTGGTTGTAAAATTCAGAGTGAACATGTTTGAAGCCGATCGGGTGGTTTAGACAAGCTATACCTTAAACCCATTGGCAGGATAATATGTCACGTTATGATGTTATATAACAGAATTAATGTTTGTATGGATGTGTGTGTGAGTATACTGTCCAGCCTGTACGGGTCTTTTAAGAACG